GCCGCGCTCCAGCTGTTCGCGCAGAAGCGGTTGCATAAGAACACAGTTCAGCTCCAGAGCCCCCTCTTCGCCCCCTCTTCCTCATTTTCTCCGGAGTTGGAGCTTTTCCTTAAAGCGAGGAATTTTGTGTTGATTCTCTTGTGATTTTAAGAAAATTTTTTATTCATCGGCTTTTTCTTACTGTGAGTTACCAAAAAAGTAGCAAGTTTGTGTTTTGCAGTCTTCTGCATAGAATCCTTCAGGACACTGTCAGATTTGGTTAAGTTTATATTTAAAAGACAAACTGGGTAAAAATGATAGGCAACTAAGTTGATTTATTGCGTCTTGACGACTTTTTGATGAGAACAAATATATTCAATGAGAATGCCTTGTGTGAAAGCCATGATTGGAAGCGGGCACACGCATATACACCCTCGTGTGTACATATTAGGTACATATGCGCGGCTTTTTCTTCCTCCCGGAAATATCAGTAGTAGTCTAAGTTTTGGGATTAGGGTTTTATTTCGGGATGAAGAATTGAGTTCCTGCAAGCATGATGATGCAGTATCCGTCCAAAGAAGAAATAAGCAAGATTTGCCTTGGAAATCAATGCCATTTCTTGTAATAAACCACTATTGATTGCAATGATGGACAGTTAAAAAAGAGAAAGGGGGTAAAGAGACAAATAGAAGTTGTTTTCTTTTTATGAGGTTGGAATTTAATCTGCAATAACCATTCTTTCTCACTTGCCCATCCTTCTTAGTTTCCAGATTACTTTTCCATTTTGTTTTAAATTGGGACTAGGGGAAGAGGAGAGAGGTGAAGGCCCCTAGGAAATCACAGCATGTTCTGACCCTTTAAAACGCTGTCTAATGTGATCTATATGGATGGCAGCTTTTAAGTTTCATAGGTTCTAGAATTACAAATTAGCTAATTTTAATCAAAACATGTGAAATGTTATCCCGGCTGGATATAAAGGCTGACTGTGCTCGATGCTTGGGGCTCGGGTTGTTGACTTTGGCTCTAGGCGCACTCCGTGGTTTGGGAGATAGTTGTCCTTCTACAGTATAACAGATGTTTGTCTGAACTGGTGAGGAAGAAACAAAAACAACATTGTCTGAAGGGGAAAAATTACACAATTTTTAGCCAATGTGCAGGACTAAGTATGGAATTAACCTTACTGTACAGAATTTCCTCTTTAAAATGTTCTCTTTCTTCCCAAATCACCATCTACTACTTGAATTTTTAATCTTCATCATTTCAATTCAGAGTAGCTTTAAAAGTGAAGTTTTGCACAGCAAATGATTCAGTTGCCTGTAGGATTAGTATTTTCTCTAGGGTTTGGAACAATGTGGGAGATCGCTGGCCAAAATTTTCAGTCATGTCCATGCACAAGCCAGCGTGTCTAGTGGAATTGTTTTGTAGGCTTTCCTGTAATATAATAGCACCAAAAATTCTTAGTTAAAAAGTGGTTCCTCAAAGTCAAAGGGTTATTTTGAACTCATTAATATTTTCTGCTTTTAATATGAATAATCACAGCAACAAAACCCCTCCCTTAACCTCTGGGCACTATTATCCCTCCAGCTCCCCTAAATGTGAAGGGTAGAGTAACATAACAAGTTGGTTGCCCTGTATAAAGATGTGTGCAACAAAATGTCACCGGGAACACAATGTGGCCTTGTGCAGCTTCATATCGGTGCTGCTGGAGCTGCCTGGCTGTGTTTGCCTTCTCAACGGCTTTCATCTGGACCAGTGTAAACTAAGCCCTGGTAAGTAATCACTGCCTGGCCAAAAAGAAAGGAATGTATACAGCTAGCATGGCCTAAGCTGTAAAAACGGAAACCTGAGCCCCCTCCTTGGATCACATATCAAGGCTTGAAGGTAGGGGAAATGAAAGGGGGAAAGAGGAGAGAGCGAATGGAAAAGTCAGCCTGGGAAGCGGAGGATCAGGAGGAGGCCCCCTTAGGGAGATTTGGCTGAGGGATTAGGGAATTTTATCGTGGTGTACAGTGACCTACTCAGGTTTCAACACTGGTTGGATCAAGTTGCTTCTCTGTGAGCTCAAAGAAAAGAGACTGGTGTGTATGTGATTTTTTTTTTTTCTCCTTCGGGTAATAGAAAGGACATTGGTACAAGTGTCTATTTTAAGTACAGCAAATGCAGGGTACTGAGAAAGAGCAACAAAATTGTCTCATCTCACAGACTTCCTTCAAGGTTTCCTAATTGAGATAGTCACATATTTACTTAAAAATGGCTGGAGAAGACAAACTGGCTGAGATTTAGCTGACACCAGTAATGGCATTGGAGATTGTCTTCATGTGGCTGGGAGCTAATGTTGGTTGCTGTTTCACTAGATCAGATATTGAGTTACATTTTCGTTATCACTGGTATAATGTACATGGCAGTTGTAACCAACTTAAATTTGATACAATATAATTTTGTGTGTGAAAAATATATGACTTGGCATAGCTTGCTTATGCTGTACTTCAGTAAAAATATCTTCAAGTAGAAATGTTTGTTTCATTATGACCTTTATGATGTTTCTTTATCTTTTTCCTTTCATTTTGACTTTTCTTGGTTAAAAAAAGAGAACTGGTTATTTTACTGTACTTACAAAAAGTGTGCTTATTCAACTAGTGATTAATAGGATTTTAAAGATCAGATGGCAGTGCAGTTTGCATTTTATCTACTTTTGGTTTCTAAAGTGAATATTGTGTTGTATCTAATGTAATAAGTCTCTGATATACTGTTAGCTCACATGTGTCATAATAAATGGATGTCAGGAGGGAAATCCCACATATGGAAGGGTTAATTGGTTTCAGGAGTTCATCTAGAACATAGTAGATATAGAAACTAGTTTGTGCTAGTGAATGTGTAAGTATAATTATATGCTTAAATATTGCTATACTTAAGGATGTTTATTTTGTACACATAGATCTTAGTGAACTATGATCAACAGCTACTAAACAATAATAGAACTCAAAAAATCTAAACTATGAATAGAGAGAATGAGCCAGATTTTTATCATTTTAAAACTCTTTGACAAAGCCAACATGATTATATCAAGCACTCTGTCCTGGAAACTTTCCTAAACAAACTATAATTAATTTACTTACAATGTCTGGCTTCTTTATCAATTGCTAAACTACAGGATAATCTCTGTTAAATGTCACAGGGTCTCACCTTTGGTGAAGAAGGTTTCTGTCTATAAATATTCTCAATAAGTAATTTGTACCTAAAATTATGCTCAATCCTGATGCCTACAGTTTGAGGCAGGCACATCTGTTAGAGTTTAGTAGGAAACTTACCACAGGATTTTCTAGTTTGGTTTCTGATGGTCTCTATTTGGCATTAAAAATGACCTGTGTCAATTGCATACACAATAAAACAAATTGCAAAATTCAGTAAGATAAATAGATTGAAGTTTTTTAAAAAATTGAAAAAGCAGTGTGTGGATTGGAAAATGAGTGCATATAAAGCTGAAATTAGCTCATTAATAAATGGGAATATTTTGAGTTTTGCTGCTGAAATTCCATTCTGGTGTCAAATGCAATTAAGTCTCAGGAACTTAGAAAGTGGGCTCGGGACCAGATCCCCAAGGCATTCTCAAATTATGTCTTCTTTGCTGAGCAAGTAGCCTCAGGTGTGCAGTGTGGCAGGGCTAGGAACTAATGCCATTTGGGATAGGACCCTTATTCTTTGGAGCAGGTATGGGATGCCCTAAGCTGGCATCATTGTTTTCAGTTGTCCTATTCAGGGTTCCAAGCTGAACCTATAAATGAGGATACTAAGAGAGCTCGAACAGTCATACATTCTGCTCTATTCAAATCAGGGGGAAGGACTCTGAGACAAGTCTCTTGCTCCATCTGTGAGCTGCTGAGTGTGATGTGCACTAGAGCACTATTCTCTAAGCCTTATACAACTCACAGGTTCCAGAGACGAGGAAATGGAAAGGAACCATTCCACTTCCTCCCAAATCTGAAATAAACATTTGAACTAGAAGAAAATGAGTCTGACAGACTCATTCCCTTCTGTGTTTCCTGCCTCTATGCTTGCCAAGCACTGCTCTGAGAAGCCAAGCCCTGCTCTCCCTGTGTGAAAGACAGACTTAGAGAAACAAGAGGTAACACGGTTTTTAAAAGAAAGTAAAAAAAAAAACAGGGCCTACAAAGGTCAAATATTAGTGAGTGCAAGTGACTCTCTAAAAAGGAGAGTTCTAGGGTT